ACACACACACACACACACACACATACATACATGTAGGTTTGACATAGGATATTTCCACATATGTATGTATATGCACTGCAATTATATGAATGAATACAGTAGAGCACACTGGGAGCAAAATTATGAAAACTTCTTAGCCATAATCAAACACCTAGAACAAATGAGTTGTTGGGCTGGGGGCTCAGGACAATAGTCTCAAGAGACACTAAGGTGAATTGGCAGAACATAGTATACAACAACAATGTTCCGCATCCTATTTTGATGACCAGCAACTGGGGTCTGCTTGTAAGCAGCCATCTAAGGTAGAACTATTGGTCTCTTCCCATCCAGAGCAAAGAAGAGTGAAGAAATCAAAGACACAAGGAAACAACAGTCCACAGGACTAATAAACTACATGAACCTCAGTCTCCATGACCCTGAAACCAGAAGAACCAGATGGTGCACAGCTACCACTACTGACTGCTCTGAAAGGGGTCACAACAGGAGGTTCCGGATAGTCTGGGAGAAAAACATAGAATAAAGATCAAAATCTAAAAAATCACCAGGCTTATTGGTCTGACAGAGACTGGTGAAACCCTTGTGACTATGGCCCTTAAACACCCTTCAAGCCTAGAACTGAACTCATTCTCATGGTTCAACTTTTAGCCAAAAGACAGACAGGCCTATAAAATAAACAGTAACACCAGGAGATACACACTCATTAGAAAAATCAGATAGAAGGGGTATCATTTACCCAGGAATAAAGCGCAGAATGCAGAAAGGGATAGGAAAGAAGAACAAAAGGAAATTGTAAACACAGGGAGGAAGCCGTAAGAGTGCTGTGACATAGTGGGGATTGCAATCAATGTCACAAAACAAAATACGTACGAATTATTGAATGGAAAACCAATTTAGTCCATAAATTTTTGCCTAAATCACAAATTAAAAAAAAAAAAAAGTTCTAGCATTTGCCAAAAGAATCAGGCAAATTTATTGGCAGAAACAAACCTTTGTATCTAATCAACTCAATCTGAAATTTATATGCATCCTTATTTATGTCTTTAGTAAGTTTTAAAAAAAGTCATGTTCATGTGGACAATCTTACACTGATAACTTGCAAGAGCTGTAAATAATATCTGTCATACAGCACCTGGGTAAATCCCTCTGCTTTGGGAATGAAGCATTCACTGATACTCCCCAGAAGGAAGAAAAGGACACACTAATGAGTGTTGGACTCCAATGGAATCATCCAAACAATAGTGAGGGGAGTCTGGCCTGTTTGGTAAAGTTGTTCAAAGCCATAGCCATGGTTTTAATTTGGTGAGCAAATAAAAGCTGGCATAGAAATTGAAATGTTACTGTTGAGATAAAGAAAATGAGAATGGCTGTTTTATGTACATTCTAGTATTACAGTTCAAAGAAAATATGAAGTCAAAGACTTAAATACTTATATCCTCTTTTTATAAAGTGACTCCAGGATTATAAAGTTTAACTTTTGATATAGCTTTGTGATTCAATCTGTCCACAGTACTTGGCTCAGTTTATCTCTTCCTGACAGCCAAGTGGCTTCCAAATAAAATGGAAGAGGCCCAGGAAATATCTAAAAGACATTGGTTCAAAAACAACGTTTTCACAACCCAGATCTCTGGATATGCAATTGAAAGGTGGCTTTCTTTTACTGGACAAGGTCGAACCCTTTCTGTTTTATGAGACAACTGATTTCAGTGGAACCAGCACTGTATTGAGAAGCCAGAAAGATTGCTGTGAGGATTCTATGAGTTACTGTAACTAAATTGTTCAGAATAATGTCAGGTACATAGCAAGCACTCCATGGATATTATCTAGTATTATTCCTTAGGCTGAGATCAAATTATTTCCATCTCTGTGAGTCTCAGCTTCCTCATTTGTAAAAGAAGGCATTTTAAACTTAGCTTCTCTACCTGTTAGCCTCAGTTTCCTCAACTGAAGGATCAAGGTAGTAATACCTACCTCAGAATTTTTGCAAGGGTTAAGTGGTATAGATCACTATCTAGCATTTGACTCAGATTAAGCTCTCATTAATATTATAAAATTATTTATAAATTTTAATTTTTATAAAATTATTGTTATTACAACTGTTATTTAAAAAGTTCAACATCATGTTCTTAATATGGTAAGTATATGATGAAGTTTTAAAAAAGAATTCTTTGTACTGTCATCATGTAGTTTCAAGAACTCTAACTGGTTTTAGTGAGCCAAGATGTCATTTAGGGTTGCCATTTGCTTCTCTGTGTGGTGAACAGCAACTCATCTTGGACCAAATATATGTCTGAGCACAAGACTTGAAGCCCTGAAGGAAGGGAATCACAAGACTGAAAAAGGCTGTTCCTGCTATCCCCTTTGGCTTGCAGAGCTGGTCATGGGAAATAAATAAGATCAACTGCCCAGGGGCCAAGGGGACTTTGCAGAAGGAAAGGGATTGAATCTCAATCCACATTTTAAAAAATATAACATTATAAATTTTCTCTCCAAAACTCTAAACCAAACTCACTGCCGTCGAGTCAGATCCAACTCATAGAGACCCCTCCTTAGGTTTCCGAGGCAGTATCACTATGGAAGCAGATTGACCAACCTTCCTTCCAAGGAGTGGCTGGTGGGTTTGAACCACCAGCTTTCTGGTTAGCAGTCAAGTGCCTTAGGCACTATACTACCAGAGCTCCTGAAGACCAGGTAACTGTGGTGGGATTCAGGCACCTATGGGGGAAACTCACCAAAAGAAAAGGACAAAGCCAAGGAACTAATTGCACAAAGATTATAGAGTGTCATTGAAGAGAATTTGATTATAGCAAGCCTATTGTTGAGACTGGAAGCCCCTCTAATGACGATGCACAGCTTGTCCTATAACAAAATGAACATACATATGAAAGCAAAGTAAAGAGTTATAATCTGTGAGCTGAAGTATAGAGCTACTGTGGCCAAACACAAATGATGAAGAAGATGGCCTCCAATTGAAGGCCAGCTGTGGGGAATCACCTCACAGCAACTGTAGTTTTAGAAGCAAGTGCCTATGGCCAAGCCATATAGCTTTGAATATGGCTGTCACCAAGAATGCTTCTATTTCACCAGTGTAGAAAATGCCTTAGTATTGGCAGTATGTATCTCTCCAGATATGCCTCTTGGCCCAGGGCCATATGATGGCATGACAGCCCCAAGAGAGTAACAAGCTCAGATAGACTATAAAAAACTCATTGCCGTCATGTCAGTTCCGACTCATAGCGACCCCTCCTTGGGTTTCCAAGGCACTATCTCTACAGAAGTAGATTGCCTAGTCTTCCTTCTGAGGAGTGGCTGGTGAATTTTAACCACCAGCCTTCTGGTTAGTAATCAAATGCCTTAGTCACTATGCTACCAGAACCTTGACCTAGACTATACCAATTATAATTACAAGAAACATATAAATATATTGGGGAATTTTTTTTTTTAAATAACAAAGGGTTTCTAAAAGAAACTAAAACTAAAACCAAACATATTGTTATTGAATTGATTCTGACTCATAACAACAGTATTGGTCAGAGTAGAATTGCTCCATAGGGTTTCTAAGGCTATAAATCTTTATGGAAACAGACCACTTCACCTTTCTCTTGCAGAGTAGCTGGTGGGTTTGAACCTGAACTTAATTTTAATCTAATTACCATTACTACTTGTAAACATCTTATGTATTCAAATGTTTTCTCTGATGCATAGGTTATTGGATAGTGGTAACCAGTCTGTACAACTCATTTTCCTTTTACTTAACATCCTTTGGAAGCCTTTTCTCCATATTATTTCAATCTTTCAATGTACATTATTTTATTAACTGCATAATAATTCATCATGTAAGGCTGGCAGTTCAAACCCACCAGCCACTCCTCGGAAGGAATGTTGGGCAATCCTACTTCTGTAGTGATACTGCCTCGGAAACCCAAGGAGGGGTTGCTATGAGTCAAGGCCGACTTGATGGCATGTAACAACAACAACAACATACCTGGCATAGTGAATTTAGCTATTATAAGACATTTTGATTGTTTATTAATATTTCATATCATTAATATGGTAAGAAACATCTCCCTGCATATTTTCCTTTAGATTTATTTCCTTAACTAAGATTCCTAAAATTGGAATTTCCAATATGAAGATTTATTCTTGAAACATATATGGTCAAATTTCTTGTCAAAAAGATGATACCAAATTATTTGGCCATAAGCAATCAATGAAAGTACCAAATCTACCATATATTTTAAAGAATAGGCATTATTATCAGATTTGAATATCTTCGATAATTTGAAAAGTAAAAATCTCATGTGATTGTTTCATTTATGTTGAGACTGATCATTGTCACATATGTTTCTAAATTGTCTATGTGTTTCCTTTTGTGAACTATTGGTTTTTATCCTTAAACAAATGTAGACTGTCTTAAGTCAATTACCTCATGCCAATTATCTACTTACTACCTATAAGACATATCACATGATGTTCACTAAAACTATTTTTGCAATGCCCAAGGTTAGGTTCGTACCATTATTTCATATCAATGTGTTTAATATGCTAGTGAATAAAAGTGAGGGTAATTTGAGGGTAATCCCAAAAGGAGGAATTATCCCCTTGGGAGGTGACTACAAAAGGAGAAAGAAAGTACCTGGACTTGTTTTCAGTTTCCCCATTTCCACAGCTACACTGGGGATGTGCACCTCACTGTAGTAAATCAGGAGCTGCACATCACGATCAAACTTGTGGCCATCATCCAAGGATATCTTAGGAGGGGACAGGTAAAGGAGACACATTAAAACTAACTGCTTGCAGTGAGGCAGATGTCAGAGCACAAGGCCACAAATTTCTTCCACTCAGTGAGTATGGGCAGGAGCATGGGTTAGAATAAACAGATGATTCTGGACATGACACAGGGCAAGGAGGGCATACAGTGTGCCTCTGGATGAAGAGGGAAAATTAAGAAGCATTAATAAAGGGCTGGTGAGGACCATTCGGAGACATGAACAGCAGTAGGGCCCTTATTAATTACCTGAGCAGTAGTCTTATCATTTTCAAGGTACTCAAGGGGAGTCAAACGGCAGTTGGACTGAACCTTCTCAATGCCATGCTGGGAACTGATGGTGGTGATCACGCTGAGTTGAAGACATGTGTTTGCAGGCCATCCTACAAAAAGTTTCCTTAGTTCTATTTCCCCAGCTATAAGCCACCCACCATCAGAATTTAGAGAGGTGGGGATACTCACGAGAGAGATGGTATCGAGGATTTAGGACAGCAGGCAGCACAAAGCGCAAGGCCCCATCTGATTCCAGGGGCAGCTCCTGCACATACTTCAGGGTCAGTGCCACCTTTGACCCAGGGTAGAGGTTGCCCACATTGCAACAGAAGACATCCCTGGAGCTCATGTCCTCCTCCAGCAGGAAAGTCTGATGGCCCTGAGAGATGGCATTCTCATAGGAGGTGTGGGCCTGAGGAGAACAGGGTGAGGGGTGAGAAGGAAATGTGACATCAAAGCTGATGGCTGATGAAGTGTACAGAAAGAAAGACTAGTGGAGTAGGATTAGGATTGGTCTTGCCAAATTCATAGCTAAACTCTGAGTACCTCTTTTCAAATAATTTTAAGGAAACAGCAGGAGAGGAAAGTGAAGAAGCTTTCCTCATCAGCATTTTTCATAGTTTGATTTGATAGAAATCCTAAAGAGTATGTGCTAAAGAATCAGGAAGGGAGATGACACCGATCCCCAGTACCTTCATCTTATCCTGTAATTCTGCTGCAATTATCTTCCCATCTATCACGGCCTCAAAGCTATAGACAGCTGAATCTTCATCCATAGGGAACACGAAGAAGGCTTCCACAGGAGCTCTCTCCTTATTCTCATAGTTTAAGGTTGCCGACACACCAGCCACAAACTCACGTATGGACACAGTCACAGAGATGCTCTTCAGTGGCACTAGGGAAAAAACAGAGTTCAAGAGTTCAATAAATTTCAATGTAATGCTTGCCTCCTGCAAGCTACACATTGTGCTGTTGTTGTTGTTGTTGTTGTTTTTTGCCGTCGAGTCGGTCCTGACTCATAGCGACCCCTCCTTGGGTTTCCGAGGCAGTATCACTACGGAAGTAGGATTGCCCAACCTTCCTTCCCAGGAGTGGCTGATGGATTTGAACCGCCAGCCTTCTGGTGAGCAGTCAAGTGCCTTAGGCACTATGCTACCAGAGCTCCTACACATTGTGCTAGGTTCCCAGAATACACTGGCAGTGAGAGGACACAGAATCAGGCTTACCTGGTTCCTTTCGACGGGTGAGTAGGCCACAGGGTCGTACCATGGTGACACAGGATTTCTGTGGAAAAGATACATCAAGTACATTTGGGGAGGTATCTATTTAAACACAGGTACCTAAACACCAGCCCAGGTGGGGAAGCTATGAGGTTCACTACCACCACCTGTTGCCATCAGTGGCAACTCTTTTGACTCATGAGGACACCATGTGTGTCAGAGTAGAACTGTCCTACAATGGCTGGTTTTTGGTATCAGATCATCATGCCTTTTTGCCAACTCAGCTGTGGGTAGAATCATTCTGAAGCACTCTGAGGCTGGAGAAACGTAGTCTCTACTTTTTCGAAGGCATATTTAATACACTGCTTCTTTGGATATTGAATTAACCTTTCTGAACCTCCATATTCTTTTCTAAAATGAGAAGCATAATACTTATGTTTCATAGATAAATTAATGTATGTGAAGTGCCTAGCACAGTGCTCTGCCTAGAGGAGGCATTTAATCAATGATAATAGACATTAGCATTGTTACTATTATATTTGTTATTCTTGTTAAACAAACCTCTGCTGCTAATCACTTTGGATCACGCTATTCAGAGACCTTAACGAGAGAAGCTCCATGATTCCAAATGGACCCCTGCATCTTACATCATTTACCTGTGGCTTTTTATTTGAGGCTCATCATTGAACCCTCGGTTGTTTTCTCTATGTAAAACATTCTAACATGTATAAATGTTGTGCATGTTGTCTACTTTAACAGACCATCCTAAATATATTTTCCAATTTTTATTATAATCTGGATAATCCTTTTATGTAATACAGTACAAGCAAATATTTTATAGATCAAGATCATTGTTCTTTTATCCAGTGAGTCAAGCAGTGGATTTGGTCCTAATCACCACCTCTAACACTATGGGAACCTGATCTCAGACCATTCTGAACCAGATCATTCCCAAGCTTGCCTCTCTCTGTTCTGCCAACATGTGACCTGAGCTGCAATCACCAGCACCAACAAGAGGACTTTCCACTGAAAACACACCGTAAAGATCTAAAATGGCAGTGGCTATGTGCAAAGAATGCTTAAAAAAAAAAAAAAAAAACTAAACCAGTTTCTGACAATTTTGTTCAGATGCCCAGGAGCATTAGAATCACTGAAAACCTCAACCTTCACTAAGGAATGTACTGGCCAGAAAACAGGAAGGCTCTTGAAAAGGATAGCTTTCCTGACCAGAACCCCACCATTTGGTGGCCCCTCAGCCATTTGGTATCAGTAGTGTTTCTTATATACTGTGATGTGACCAACACCTACAGTTTTTATTTTGAACTGGATAGGAATGGAGTGTGGCAAAATGGTTCACAACTTAACAGAAACACAAAGTAGTAGTGTGGGGAGGAGAGAATGTTCAGAAACAGGGCTTCACTGCAGATTCTGGGTAAGTTCTCTGGGAGAACAGCCTGGGATCAGGAAGGGAAGATTTCTTTAACAATAGGAGGGAGCTTAAAATGAGTGTCATGAAACCAAAGCTCTCAGGATAGGCAGTACTTACCAAGCGGGACTGACAGAGGAATTGAGAGAAACAGAGGCAGCTCCTACAAAGAAACAAGTCTTAGTTCCTGAATCTAACTGACAACAAATTCACTGGTGCAAATTTGCCATTCAGCATCGCTTCTCCTTCCCCACTTCCCAGTATAAGCAATGCGGGTTCAGAATTAGTTCTGGTCCTCAGGACCTCAGAAACGCACATAGCAATAGGTATGGAAAGACTAGGCACAGCGACGACCAAGGTCAGAGTCAAGAAAGAATAGGAGGCATGTGAGAGGAAGAAGCACCATCCCAATGGCCAGGCAGCTGCCTGGTAGGTGGATCCTCAGGGATTCAGGGGTTCTGCACCGCGCTGCGCCGCTCAGCTGAGAAGGCAGGGAAAGAGCTGCTGGCGCAGCTTTGGCGCAGCAGGCCACTCCCTCCAGCCGGTTGCCGGGGTAGAGTGGGGGAACCCGGATCCAGCCAAGGAGGCGAAGGGGCAGAAGGGTACTTGGATAGAAAGGGGGAAAAAAAAGGTCGTGGTGGGGGACAATTTAGTCTTTAAATTTTCAGCCCCAGGTTATCAATTTACAGGTATTCCCAGCGAGACAGAGGGTTTTTTTTTCCCCCATATAGAAAGTTTAGGGATGCAATCTGATTGGGGGTGGGTAAAGGGAATGGGCGTGAGCGGGAGGCTTGCCTCTACATTTCCACAGCATACAACTACATTAAATTGAGAAAATATCAATTGTTGATATCAAAGGAAGAAAAAGTAAAGAAAAGAAAAAGTGAAGGCTACACACACATACCAACCCCTACCCCAAAAAGCATGTTGCGTTGTTGTTTTGTGCCCTCAGTACGACCCGACTCATAGCGACCCCTCCTTGGGTTTCCGAGGCGGTGTCACTAGGGAAGTAGATTGTTCAACCTTCCCCAAAAGCATATCGTCCGCTATATAGTCTCTCCTGATTCAGGGTGAACTGTTCCACGGGATTTCCAAGCATGTAAATCTTTGGAAGCCTACTGCCTCACCGTTCTACCGCGGAGCGGCTGGTTGATTGAAACCGCCAAGCTTTTGGTTAGCAGCCCAGTTTTAACTACAGCATCATCAGTGTTCTTCTGCAAGACATACAAGATTCCCCTAAGCTGCAGAAACTCCCTGGGGAATGCAGCCTAAGGCGTAAATCCCCCATCCCTTAGGCTTACAGTTAAAACAAGTCCCAAAAGATTTGGGGCCAGAGGGAATGAGAATTGATATGGGCACGTCTTAGTCCTCATTGGCAGTGGGTAGGGTCCAGCCACCGCGTGGATGAGCGGATTACCTACCTTCTACTCCTGTAGACGGAATCGCTTTGAGTCACTGCATAGAGAAAACAACTGCAGACAAAATTTACAGGAAGACACGCCCCTTACTAGGGACCGGTTGTAAAGAAAAGACTACTTGACCAAGGGATCGACGGAAAATTCTTAAACAAATGCTCGAACATTCCCTGTTCCCTTACTCAATGGATAAAAGGAGCTCTGGTAGCATAGTTAGCACTTGACTGCTAACCAGAAGGCTGGCGGTTCAAATCCACCAGTCACTCCTAGGAAGGAAGATGGGGCAATCTACTTCCCTAGTGATACTGCCTCGGAAATCCAAGGAGGGATCGCTATGAGTCGGGTCCTATTTGGTGGCACACAACAACAACAACAACAATACTTGCTTACAGCTTTATTATGGGGAAAAAAGGATGCAAACAAAGAGATGCACAGGGCGAGGTCTGGGAGGGTTCTCAATGCGAAGCTTCCATGTTCCAAAAAGCGATGTGAGTACTCAATCACCTACCAGGAAGCACACAGAATTCTGTGTTCAGAGCTTCTATTGGGAGTTTCTTCACCTAATGCAAACTCCAACCACTCTTCCCTGGGGTCAGACAATATCACAAAAGTGACAATAAAGTGTATTAGCTGGTGGTTATCTCTGGTCTGACTGGTCTCCACCCTCCAATCAGTTCATCACCTAACCTGTTAGATATGGTCTGGCATCCTATGGAAGACACCTAAATTTCAAGTTTTTTGATGGCTTAGTGACTAAGATATTTGACTGCTTATCAGAAAGCTGGAGGTTCAAATCCACCAGCAACTCATCTGAAGGAAGATTGGGCAATCTACTTCCCTAGTGATACCACCTCGGAAACCCAAGGAGGGGTCGCTATAAGTCAGATGGGACTATGGCAATGAGTTTGGGTGTGTGTGTGTGTGTGTGTGTGTGTGTTTTGGTCTCAAGAAGGAAGGACAGAGGCCAAATCACATCATGCATTTCTTGCACTAGTGATACTTCTTATGAGTTCTATGACCCTGGGCAAATTGTTTAATCTCTGATCCTTAGTTTCTGTAAAAAGGGGATTAATAATCACTACTTTAGGAGTTCTGGTGGCATAGTGCCTAAAGCATTTGACTGCTAACTAGAGGGCTGGGGATTCAAACCCACCAGTGGCTCCTCGGAAGGAAGATTGGGGATTAGGCAATCTACTTCCTTAGAGATACCACCTAGGAAACCCAAGGAGGACTTGGCACTGAGTTTGTTTGTGCTATTTTTTTCACATGGTTATAGTCATGACCAAAATTTGATGGTTGCATATCATGGATGTAATTAATGTCACTGAATTGTATAGGTAAAAAATGTTGAAATGATAAGTGTTTTGTGATTTTATATACATATATATAAATATAATTTTTAAAAAATGAACAAATTGGCAAAGAATGGAAGTACAGCCCAAACTCGTAAAAATTGGAAACTTCAAAGAAACTTCCCAAATCTTAAAAATAAATAAATAAAGTCTGGAGGGAAAAAAATAAATAAAAATAAACTAAAGCTTCATGTATTTAAAAAAGGAGATTTAAAGAGCTATTATATGAACAATTTTGTTAAATGGGTTTTTAATTCCAGTAGCTACTAATTTCAAACAGTATTTGATCTTTCCTTTTTAATAATGAGGGAATTTTCCCCATCTAATTAGTGTGATGTAAAAGTAAGATTCCCTCCATTTCTTTCATCTTTCAGCTTAAGTTTTCTATTTTAAAGACCACCTAGAGAATGCCCACCATTTTTAGTACATTATTTCATTTTATCCCTCATACCATACTGAGAAATTGGTATTATTATGTTTATTTTGTAACAGAGGAAATCACTTGCCTTAGGTCTCATGGTTAGAAGAACTACAGTTGGGGATAGTTTTCTTCAAATGAAAAATACCAAACCTCACTCCTCTTTATTTTTTTCCTGTGGTTAATGTTTTCTAAAATAAAAGACTCCTAATATACTTCTGACTGGAGAGGAGCTAAACTAAATGGAAGAAATGACGAGATAAAAGAGCTGAACCGAAGATTTCAAAAAGCAGCTCAAGAAGACAGTCAATCATTATAATAAGAACATATACATATAAGAACTGAAGAAAAACTTCAAGCCTTGAATTGCAGTATTGAAAGATTCTACTGGCAAAATATTGAACCATGCAGGAAATATCAAAAGAAGATGGAAGGAAT